GTGGATAGACTCAGCATGTTCATTAAATTAGCCCAGGTATTAGGTTCACACAAGCCGAGGCCCCATCTGCTTACTGAAGTCTCCCCCCTTCCCACTCCTATTTCCATCTTTCTCCCTTTCCCCCTTCCTTTGCAGTATCTCATGTAGCCCAGGCTGGCTTCAAACTTGGAATGTAGCCGAGGATGACCTTGAACATCTGGATCTCCTGCCTCCTGGTTTATGTGGTACTGGAGCTTGAACCCATGGCTTCCTATAACCCGATGGCTCCTATAACCCCTATGGCTTTGCTGGGGATGTTCAGTAACTGCAATGTTTCAGAAGAATAGCATAACACCTTGAAACAAGCTAAGCTAAGCTCAGGAGTCAGTGGCCACTAATGATAATCCATTGAATATTTTGTAGGAGCTAGGACTGTGAGAGTTTGGTGGGAGATAAAGCATGCTCAGAAAGATTCTTGTATTCAAAACGCCTCATTTATTGTCCATCTGATTCTGTTACCTAAATGTGGGTTTACTTTGACAGGACTGAAACAGGTATATGAGCAGTTGGAAGGGCTCTACATTTGTTACAGTTTTTCCAAGCAGGAGTTCTCGAATTTCCCATAAATCCCTTCACTGTGCAACTATGGCCGGTGTCTTTTGGAAACCTCCATTTCTACCTTTAGGTATTGCTTTATGGTGTTCAGACCACCTTGTAATTCCTAGTACTTCTGTATCAAGGAGGAAGTTTCCCCACACATTGGTGGAGAGTAGGGTGTATTGAATTAGATAAACAAACAAACAAATAAATAGAGAGACATGACTACTCCTAGGTATGGTGGAGGAGAAGGTTTATTGTAGATAAAAGGGAGAATGTAGCTAGAGGCAGAGCTATCTGGGAGAGTCCAGCGTGGACATGACCCCAAGCCATGTGAGGAGATGGGGAGGGGAGAGCCAGGAGAGGAAAGGGGCTAGGGAGCCAGAGTTGTTGGATTATATAGGGAAGGGCAACTGAAAGAAGAGCTGGACTGAAGAATGCCAGCCATACCCTGTAACAGGTGGGACTGAGGGGTGCTGGGAGAACCTGGTGGCCAGACCTGCTTTGCGATGTTAAATAGGCACCTCAGTTACCCATTTGTCCCAGGTTGAGACCTAACAGCATTACTCACAGCTCAGGTAAGTATTATTTCCAAAACTGAAAAGCATAGGCCTGAAGGGCACAGAGCTGGCTGGGACTTAGGGCGTTGTCACAGCTGTGACAGTCTTCCTTCCCTAGAGAACCAGGCAAAGGGGCTTCTTACATGAAGGCAGACTCTGTAAGGGAGTGGTGGTTCTCAGAGTCAGGTGAGAGCCTGTGGGGTCCCCAAGGCCAGAGGACCTCATTTTTACCGTTAAAGATCTAACTGGGGTGAGATCTTTTCCAAATACTTCACCCAAGCAAAACATGTCACTACAGAGAGAAGTAGAAGCAGATATGAAAACCCATTAATCTTCCATTCACTCTGACAGTTAAAGGGATTTACAAAAACAGCTCTGCCAATGTTCTTGTTTGAGAAAACACAGCTTTTCATAACCATACTATAGCATTTATCTTAGGATATAATGGTGCTGCATTCAGCACTGTTCCAAGGACAGACCTGACAGGTGTGTGTGTGTGTGTGTGTGTGTGTGTGTGTGTGTGTGTGTGTGTGTGTGTGTGAAGAAGAGACACAGAAAAGCTGGGGGTTGAGCAGACCAGGCCTCAGATGAAGAAACTTCAGCACCCTGGAATCTCAGCGTGTTTATTAAGTAAAGTTGAATAGAGAGGTGGGGTTATTGCATACAGCTCAACAAGGAAGTAGGCTATTACATGCAGACAAACAAGGAGCTTGGGCTTATGATACACAGCTGGACCAAGGAGGCGGGTTTAGCTAGTCTTGTAGGAGCAGTCTCTGCAGGGGAGCAGTCTTCAAGTCCTAAACATCCTGGTGAGGAAAGCTAAGTGGACATTTTTTGCACACATTATCCACACTCACACTTGGATGGAAGATGAAGGCTTTGCCATTTTGCTCTGAGCCTCACCAGGAGGGATGTGAGTGGGGGGTAGGTGTTAGGGGGAGACTTTGCTATTTTTCTATGCGTCTGAGGCTTTGGTCCTTGACATGGCTTTGCTCATGTCAACAGCACAGTTCATTCAGGACTTTACTCACTCAGGGCTTCCTACATAATGGAGTTCTTACTTTAAATGAATAATAATATATATGCTTTAAATTTCTCAACTATAAGCCAGGTGGCAGTGGTACATATCTTTAATTCCAGCACTTGAGAGGCAGAGGCAGGCAGACCTCTGTGAGTTCGAGGCTAGCCTGGTCTACAAAGCAAGTTCCAGGACTGTTGTAGAATATTTATATACTATATGAAGATTATATTTGCTGTGATTGGTGTAATAAAAAGCTAAATGGCCAATAGCTAGGCAGGAGGTATAGGTGGGATTTCCAGGGAGAAAAAGGCAGAGGAGGAGGAATCTAGGTACACAGGAGACATGGAGAGGAAACAGGAGGTACAAGATGAAAGAGCAGTAACGCCACGTGATAGAACACAGATTAACATAGATGGGTTAATTTAAGTTATAATAGCGAGTTAGGAACAAGCCTAAGCTATAGGCTGAGCTTTTATAATTAGTAAGAAGTCTCTATGTCATTATTCAGAAGCTGGCTGGCGGGACAGAAGAAGACCCACTACAGTCAGGACAGTCAGGGCTACACAGGGGAACCCTGTGTTGAAAACAAAACAAACAAAACAAAACTTTCTCAACTGTGATTGTTAACACGTCAATAGAAGAATCAACAGAAAAGATTTTTGGGTTCTTCTATCATTTTTTAAAGTTTAAAGAAATTTGGAGACGAGAGAGAGAGAGAGAGAGAGAGAGAGAGAGAGAGAGAGAGAGAAACAGAAAGAGAGAGAGAGAATATAGATTTGGGCTCCTAATTTAGAGTTTGAAGTATTAATATTAGATAATAGTTCTCAGACTTTAATAGTTCTCACATATACCATACAACTTAAACCATCAAATGTGGAAAATAGTTAAAACCCCTACTGTTGTTGTTGTTATTATTACTATTATTACTATTATTTTGTTCCCAGGGATTGAGCCAAGACCTTGCTTGTGATTTGCTATTGGGTTACATGCCAAGAGTTCTCTTATAGTATTTTTTTCCCCCAGGAAATAGAGCCCCACAGTCCTCTTTTCCTTCCTTTCTCCCAGTAGATGAGGTCACCGTTCTGGCTCTAGTGGGTTAGCTAACGGCAGTGGTGCAGCCTGCTCAGACAGCCACTGTAGAACCTGTTACTTGTGGTGTCTTGGGTCCAGGGATTTGGGGAACAGGAAGGTTCATTGACATGATAATGCAGATTTGTTTAGACCTGTGCTCTGCTGTCATCCGTTGGCGGTGTCCCCTCTGTCCTTTGCATCCCTTAGGGATGCCTGTAGCTGGAGTTTTCTCCAGTCCCACTCGGGTCCTCAACCGCTCAGACCCAAGTAAACACACAGAGACTTACATTACTTATAAACTGTATGGCCATGGCAGGCTTCTTGCTATCTAGGTCTTATATCTTAAATTAACCCATTTCTTTTTTTTCTTTTTTGGTTTTTCGAGACAGGGTTTCTCTGTGTAGCTTTGCGCCTCTCCTGGAACTCACTTGGTAGCCCAGGCTGGCCTCGAACTCACAGAGATCCGCCTGGCTCTGCCTCCCGAGTGCTGGGATTAAAGGCGTGCGCCACCACCGCCCGGCAAATTAACCCATTTCTATTAATCTATAAGTTGCCATGTGACTTGTGGTTTATGGGTACTTTTACATCTTGCTTCTTCTGTGTCTGGCTGGTGACTTCTGACTCAGCCTTTCTCTTCCCAGAATTCTCCTCTCTGCTTGTCCCGCCTATACTATACTTCCTGCCTGGCTACTGGCCAATCAGCATTTTATTTATATATCAATCAGAGCAACACATTCACAGCATACTGAAAGACATCCCCAGTAGATGCCTAAGTCCCTGTGTAGAATGGTGCACTTAAGTGTAGCCTATGCACATCCTTTTATATAATCTATAGGTGACTAATATGATATAAGTACTTGTTACACACTGTATTGTCAAAGACTACAGTCAAGAATAATGTACACACTACCAATGTGATATCCTCCACCCCAACATTTTTGGTGCTTGGTTGATTCACATTTTGGATATCATAGCACCAATTTGGAGGCCTGACTGTATAATTACAGAGCTTGAATGCTTTTTGAGGAAGGGGAGTGTGGAATAAACTGCAGAGATGTTGGGCGTTCTTGGGCTATATCTGGGCATTTAAGAGTTGGAGGTGAAGAGAGCAGGACCAGAGCCCACCTTCCTTTCTTCCTACGTTTGTTTCACTCTGGTCACAGGCAAAAGAATGATGGGAGTCAACAAGAAACATGGTAAGAAGGAAACAGGAAAAGAAGAGGCCAGTGCAGACGGCATGGGGAAAGAGGGTGCGGCCCCACCCAATGGCTGTGTGGGTCTCAGTCTGCGACTGGGATCTCTCCAGTACCCGGACCCACAGGGACTCCTAAGAGAACCTCAAGCTTTACTGTTGGTTCCTGCTCCTCCAAGGACTTGGCACACTGTTCTTTGTGCTCGCCACCAGGCTTCTGATATAAACCACGAGGCTGTACAGGCTGGCTGAAACTCAAGACATTTGGTTAAAATGTGACAATGCAACCATGTGTACTGAGAGGAGGGAGGAAGACTATATAGTTTTGAGAATAATAAGCTTGAAAAGGTTGCAGCTGAGTAGAGATGTTCACCAGACAGATAGAAATGGGATCTGCATCTTGTAGCCTTGGGAATCACCATCCTGTAGAAATAGTCAGAGCTACGGACAACGTGACTTTAATCTTTTCTTCTGGGTGATGCTGGGGATTGAACCCAGGGCCTTTTGCATTTGAGGCAAGTGCTATACCACTGAGCTATGCTCTCAGTCTACACAAACTATATCTCTCTTGCTTTTTCAGCTTTTCCATGTGGCCTATGTTTTAATCAAATTTGCAAATTCTCCACGCCCTGATCTTTGGGTCTTGGAAAGATCTGTAGACTTTGGAAGCACCTACTCACCATGGCAGTATTTTGCTCGTAAGTAATCTTGTCTTCTGTGCTATGAGGGGCTTCGAGTATCTGAAACAGTTCAAGACTATGGATTTAGTTAATAAAGAGTGTCTCAGTGTGACTACATAAGGGACTGGACCTCCCAAGTTATCCTCAAAACATCCCCGTTTCTCAGTCTTGTATGCACTGATTCTAAGGGTCCCACATGCAGAATGGAGGTTGCACCCCCTTTTAAAACAGTTTTGCTCCTTCTGGTGGGAGCTACCTGTAAATGAGCTGCAACTCATGTTCTTGCCCCTTCATGAGGAGTCAGTAACAAAGTCGGCTCTCTATGGATCCCGGGCTCCATGCTTCTCATTTAGAACCCATTGTCTTTGCTAATGAGGTATGTAAGTGTCTCTGAACCACATGATGAATCAAAGTGGCAGCAGATTTGCTTAGAGGGTAAAGCTGCCTACTCGAGGCATGAGGAATTGATAGCGTATCTTCAAAGGTGGTTGCCGAAGGGCACTTGAACTGAAATAGCCAGGTATTTCTTTTTTATGAGTTAAAAACTTCATTCTAAGCTTCCATCTAGAAGTCCAAAAGACTTCTTGGTTCTTCCTCTTAAGGAAATGCAAGGCGTTGGAAGCATTCTAGAAGAAAAGATGCATTATTTGATAACGTTCCACTGTTTCCTTTCTAGACTCTAGAAGAGATTGTTTAGAACAGTTTGGGCAAGAAGCAAACATGGCCATCACCCGAGATGACCAGGTGCTCTGTGTCACAGAGTATTCCCGCATCGTGCCTCTGGAAAATGGCGAGGTAAATTGTTTGGGAGGCAGTCGGGTAGGATCCGAAAGGGACAGGAGGCTATGACATTGTACTCCCCGGAAGACGGTACAGACCAAGGTGGGAAGAAGACTTTTGGAGGAAATAGAAAAGGAATCACTCCAAAGACTGGGAATGAGTTGGGTTGGAAGTTCTGTGTGGGGCCGAGTTCTCCCCAGGAAGTTAGGGTTTGGGATCCAAGTCCACGGGTCTCAGAATTCTCCTGGTGACAGAAGGCAGTGGGTCCCTGGTAACTGGTTACCTCCCTCCCACCTTCTCACACACTATTTCCAATAAGACTGAGGAGGTGGAGCAGGTGGCAGTGCTAAGCCCTGGTGAAGAGATGCTGTCGGCACAGGACCCCCAAGACCGAGTCCTCAGCACAAAGGAGATTTATTTGCCCCAGAGGGACAAAGGGCAGGAAATAAGAGACAAAGACAGGAGACAGAGGATGAGGGAGAAGCGGAAGGGAACAAGGGAGAGAGAGAAGGGATATTTTCCAGAGGACAAAGGACGGCCTCTGGATAGGAGACAGACGTGGCCCATAGAAAAATGGCAGTTTATAAAGGTACAAGGGGAAGCCCCATGTTAGGACGAGGTGTTTAATTTTGATTGGGCAGGTTAACTAGGTGAGCCAAGGGGCTTCTGATTGCTGGACTCCAATACTTCCATAGCTGAACCTTGGTAGTCAGCCTCAGGAGGAGGAAGTGGCCAAATAAGGAACTAGACCTTGGGGGCTGGCTTTAGGAGTGTAATGGTTTTAGCAAGGCAGAGGGAATGGGGAGAAGGGCAAGGCCTGCCAGAGCCATGTTCACCATGCTGGGTCTGCCAGAGCCATGCTCACCATGCTGGGTGTGCCAGAGCCATGTTCGCCATGCTGGGTGTGCCAGAGCCATGTTCACCATGCTGGGTGTGCCAGAGCCATGTTCACCATGCTGGGTGTGCCAGAGCCATGTTCACCATGCTGGGTGTGCCAGAGCCATGCTCGCCATGCTTGGGCTGGCCAGAGTCCCTTCACTTGGTCCCATTTGACATGGTGGATGTCAGCTCCTGGGGGGAAAGCAACTGCTGTCCCCTGGAGTTGCCTCTGGCCCTGCTGTGAAATCAGCCTGGCTGTAGCTATGCAGGGGACAAACCAAGCTGGGGACATTCAGGGAAGAAGTCCCCGGAAATGGTGAGGCCGGAAGGAACACAAACAGACTTTCCGATCAACTCTCCTTAGGAGTGTGAGATCTTCCTCAAATAGCTCTATCCAGTATCTTCAGCTGCGGAGCAGCTCATGTTTCAAGCTACTGAGGCTTAGACTTTGTCAGCTGAGGCATGAAAACCTGAGCCATTATTCTGGTTCACATTTTTAAATAGCATTTAGATCAGCGGTTCTCAACCTATGGGTCGCAACCCCTTTGGGGGTCAAATGATTCCTGCATATCAGATATTTACATCATGATTCACAACAGTAGCAAAATTACAGTTATGAAGTAGCAGGGAAAATAATGTTGTGGTTGGGGGTCAGCACAACACGAGGAGCCGTGTTAAAGGGTCGCAGCATTAGGATGGTTGAGAAGCACTGGTGTAGATCATTTCAGCTTTGTGTTTGATGCAGCTTGACAGAATCACTTCCCTGTGTTTATAGACATAACAGTCTCTCTCCAACCTTTCATGGTGTTTCCCTTCCACAGCCACCTGACAGGTCAGACGTTTAAGAACGAAGTGAGAACATCTTCACGGAGATCAGGTTTAAATGTAGATCCAAGAACTAGCAAATGTTCTGACCTATAAACTAGATGCTCAACCACCTCAGCCCATCCAGGGGCTCCTTTAAGAACCGGGTACTTTGGGGGCATATGTTATTTTTAGTGTCTTGTGGCTGCATTTTGAGAAAAGGACTTGGTCTGATATTTTGCTCTGTTTTTGAAGGTGGTTGTATCTTTGATAAATGGTCGTCCAGGTGCGAAAAATTTCGCTTTCTCTGACACCCTGAGGGAGTTTACTAAAGCAACAAACATTCGCTTGCGATTTCTCCGAACCAATACCCTCCTTGGGCATCTTATCTCCAAAGCAGAGCGAGACCCCACTGTCACCCGGCGGGTGAGTGGCATTTTGTGAGCGCCCAATCGCCTGTGTTTTGTTGCTTGTCTTGCTTGTCAAATAAGTTCAACTCTTCTGAGTACTTTTCGCAGTCAGTGATCTTAGGTAGAGGGTGGGTCCTGTCTAAAAGAGATATGGCTATTTGAAGAAAAATTAACCAGGCCTGGTGGTGTAGGCCTGTAATCCCAGCTGCCAGAGAAGCTGATGCAGGAGGATTGCAAATGCAAGGCCTGGTTGACTGCAGAATGAGACTCAGGACAGCCTAGGCAACTTAGCCGTCAATCTGGCTCAGTGGTAGAACCCTGGGTTCAATCCCAAAGACAAGAAAAATTGTTATATCCAAACGGACTGTAGTCAGTCTGGTACGGGTGCAGGTGGGTAACTCTTGCCATCAACAAGCCCAGTGTCAGAGGCCTAAGAAGGCCTGGCTCATGTCACAGTCCGGTGTGTATCAGCTGGTGAGCACAGCTCCATGCGGTCACCCTGGGGACCAGGCTCCTTGTTTCTAGTGGTGTCTTAGTGTCTTCCTTTCGATTCCCTGCTTCAGTTCAGCAGATGAAAGAAGGAGGAAAGGAAACCCACACACCCCAAGCTACAGAGGTCACTTCTGATGGAAGGAAGGCCTTGCTGGTCAGAGGTTGCAGTCTATCATGCCCCGGCAGCCTTTTCCAAAGCTCAGTGACATGGAGACTTCCTCCCCAGCGAAACTTCCCGCTCTCTACCTGCCCTTATCTGGAGAATGTCCCTGGGCCCGGAGGACTGACCTTATCTGAAAGCTGTCTCTAAGCCTGGGTGCCTGATTTATCTTTTGCTTGACCCTTGGCCCAGTTCCCTGCTGGAAGCCTCCCCTGCTGCACGTGTGGAAACGAAGACTTACACTAGGAGCTTTACTACAGGGCCCTGCTGCCACTAACCCAGCCTTACGATAGGAGTGTGCCACTTAATGAAATTAGGGTTTGTCCCCAGGCTTCCCAATCCTATATATTCCCTATACTCTGGAATAAAGCCGAGCTGATTCACTAGTCATCTCCCAGAGGGCTGTTGCCATCATACCCACAGCCATCTGAACTCTGTTCCCTGCTTCCGCTCCCTCCTCCCTCGTGGACCAGTGCACCAATGATCTGGAGGAGGAAGCAAGACTACAGCTTCCACTGAGAAGATCTGGTCCTAATGTAGACCCTCCTAGGGAAAGAGCTCCAAAACGTGACCTAGTGGAGGAGAACGTGGTGGTTCAGTAAACTCTGCAGTCTGAGGGAGAACTATGGGAACATCTCATCCTCCGGTGTTAGGATGGTACCCTGGCTTCTAGGGACAGAGGGGGGCAGTAGAAGAAGTGACCTGAGCTTGCTCTTCTCCTGCAAGTGCCTCTTAATGGCACAACCAAAGAGGAAGCTATGGAGCCAGATACAGGGCTGCTGATGATACAGGGGTCAGCCCAAGGACCAGGGGCAAGATCCCCCAGAAGGCTGGCTGGAAGATGCCCACCGTACTGCTAGAGTTTGGCATTTTATGTAGTTGATAGCAGAGAGGTCGGAGGTGGACAGTCCGGGAAAGATGCGTTACAGTTTTGAGCATTTTCCAGAAAGGTCAGGTACCTTGTCTGCAGGTGACTCACCTGCATTTCCTGTGCTCTTAGCTCTTTCTGAACCCGTGGGTAGATGGGGACAGTGATAAAGATGATCTGGGCATTCTGAAAAGCTACAAGGCCCCAGCTCACCACTTCCCTGCACTTCCAATTATCTTTGTGAGTGTTGCAAGGTGTGTGTGTGTGTGTGTGTGTGTGTGTGTGTGTGTGTGTGTGTGTGTGTGCGTGTGTGCATGTGGCCTCTCCTGGGTCTGCTGCTAACTCTGGCTGATCTTTGGGAGTTTGAACTCTTAGCTCTAGCCTTTTTGAACATGAATTAGGAAGGTTCCAACAACTGCCCACAACTGATGACTCCTTCTACAGGTGGATCTGATCCATCTTTGTAAATATTTTCCCTCTTCCCACACCCCGGAGGGGCAGTTTGCACATAGTAGGTACAAAATTCATTTTTGGTAGATACATATGCTCAATGTATGAACAATCTTAAAACACATCGTCTCATTCCAGTAGGCTGTCCGTATGATTTCCCCCCATAGGTAATTTTCTTCCCTGTATTTAAAGCATTTGATGTTTTAACGGACAAATTATGAAGGCTTTTTAAAAAATTAAGTTTAGTTGAGGAATGCGTTCATTTTGTAAGACAAGTAACAAGCAACGTGGCTCCCATTTGTGTTCAGGTCAGCAAGGAGAAATAACCCAAGAGTGTAGAATAACGGAGAAGCCGAGTCACCCCTTCTGCAGGTGAAGGCACTAGCTGCTGCTAATTCTCTTCTCTGTCATGCAGTACTATTACAGCATAAAGGACATCAGCATCGGCGGGCGGTGTGTTTGCAATGGCCATGCGGATGAATGTACGGCTGACAACCCTGAGAAGCAGTAAGTACGGAGGCGCCCACCCCACCCTACCCCCAACCCCCCACCCCCTGCCTTACTCTGGATGAGCCTAATTGTTGCAGTGTGTATGTATACCCTGGTAAAGAGTTTCAGGTTCTAGACCTCAACAGGAATGTTTCAGAGTCCACAGAAAGGTGGTGTGTGTGTGTGTGTGTGTGTGTGTGTGTGTGTGTGTGTGTGTGTACTTTCCTTCCACAGACTACCAGTGGGTCCATGGCAGACATGACTAATCAATCACAGCACCCTATGGATAATATGGAACGCTGCTATCAAATCCCCAAACCCAAGACCATGCTAGACACTCACTAATAATTTTTATCCACAGTTTGATTTTGCATTTTTTAAATTAAAATTTTATTTTTATTTTATTTTATGTGTCTGAATGTTTTGCCTGCATATATGCCCAGTGCCTGAGGAGTCCAGAAGGCATTGATCTCCTGAGACTCAAGTTACAGACAGTTCTGATCTACCATGTGGCTGCTGGGAACTGGACCCAGATCCTCTAGAAGAGCAGCCAGTGCTCTTAACTGCTGAGCCATCTCTCCAGCCCCTGATTTTGACTTTATTTTATTTGGGGTTTCTACCATGTGTGACAGTTCCTACCTCAGGTTGGAATTGGCACTGAAGGTGGGAACGCACATTAGGGTTTGGCTTATCATGAACATTCTGCCTTATAGAAAATCATGATTGACATGTGGTCAAATAGCCTCGGTCTCATTTAAATTCTGCCAATACAGAACAGTTCAGCAATGACAATCCGGTGCCAATACTCATGAAATCTACATGTATGAACAGGAACCAGCCTCTGCTTGAGATGGTCCAGGCACTTGATGGAGGAAGCCCATTTTGGACAATCAGTGAAGTTAGTTCTAGGCAGAATACAGTTTTAACCAACGGCTTACCATCCTGACCTCGCTACATGGATAGTAGCAGGATCGCACTTTTGATTCTGGGCTTTCAAATAGCCTACTAAACAGGAGGAGTCAGCTCAGGTTCATCTTTTGCTGTGTCACAACCTAAAATGTCAGCTGCTTAGGAGAAAATGATGGTAGATATTAGGCTAGGTAAGATGGAGAGGCCATCATGGAAAGGACTCTCTAATTGGCTGGGTCTGAAGCATTTTTGTAGTAGATACAAAGTGAAGTGCTACCTCATCTTTAGTCTAGACTGAGAATCAGTACAGCAGTGGCTTGGGAATGTCAGCGCTGCCCAGGCAGCTGCTGCCCAGGCAGGTACCGCCCAGGCAGACACCGCCCAGGCAGGCACCACCCAGGCAGGCACCATCCAGACAGGCACACCATCCAGACAGGCACCACCCAGGCAGGCACCATCTAGACAGACACCGCCCAGGCAGGCACCGCCCAGGCAGGCACCATCCAGGCAGGCACTGCCCAGGCAGGCACCGCCCAGGCAGGTACCTGTCCAGACAGGCACACCATCCAGACAGGCACCACCCAGGCAGGCACCATCCAGACAGGCACCGCCCAGGCAGGCACCATCCAGACAGGCACACCATCCAGACAGGCACCACCCAGGCAGGCACCATCCAGACAGGCACCGCCCAGGCAGGCACCGCCCAGGCAGGCACCACCCAGGCAGGCACCACCCAGGCAGGCACCATCCAGACAGGCACACCATCCAGACAGGCACCACCCAGGCAGGCACCATCTAGACAGACACCGCCCAGGCAGGCACCACCCAGGCAGGCACCATCCAGACAGGCACACCATCCAGACAGGCACCATCCAGATAGGCACACCATCGAGACAGGCACCATCGAGACAGGCAGGCACCAGGTTCCTTTCTGTGCTGTGCTCAAAACTTCCCTATGAATATAGTTGGACCCCATGTTCTTCAAGCAATAGCCCTTAAATATTCCTTCAGGCCAACATATGCCAAGTATTTCACTGGTACTGAGCTGAAACTGCCTCTGATGAGAGCCCACGTGGTCTCCAGCTGCCGTGCTGTGCCAGTTAAGTCCACGTCAGTGTGCCTTCACAGACAGTTAAGTCCACGTCAGTGTGCCTTCACAGACAGTTAAGTCCACGTCAGTGTGCCTTCACAGACAGTTAAGTCCACGTCAGTGTGCCTTCACAGACAGTTAAGTCCACGTCAGTGTGCCTTCACAGACAGTTAAGCCCACGTCAGTGTGCCTTCACAGACAGTAGAGCAGGGAGAAGGATGGGATCTTCTTTCCGGAGTGTGACTCTTCAGTCGGGCCATCCTCCCCACTGCCTCTCACATCAGGGCCATGGGGGTACCTGGAGGCCCAGCTAGGAGCTGTTCCACGATGGTTTTGAGTCTTCTTTCAAACCAGATGAGTGGTAACTCAAATGCAACCTTCCATTCCATTAGAAGGTCTTTTTCCCAGCTTCACTCCAGGGTTCGGTGAAGATGTGATGCTAAATGCATCCCAGGAAACTTAGTACCTGCTTGTTCACTTATTTTTATTTCTTACTCATTTATATTTATTGTTTTCTGTAGCCCAGGCTAGCCTGGATACTGTTTATCCTTCAGCCTCCATGGAGGGGTGATTATAGGTGTGAACCACCATGCCGTATTGTTCAGTTATTGTAACATAATGTGGTAGAGGAGAAAGAACTGGTGCTTCAGGGTCAAAGTTCTGCTTGACATTTGGTTCTCTGTTATCACCACGTGACCTTTGGCAAACATCTAACTGTCTGTATCTTAGTTTCACCATCTGTGTGACAGAGACAATGGGGTTGACATAACGTGTGCGAATTGCTTTGCTCTGGTAATGCCACAGTGAATGTGCTGTGGAGACGACGGGGTTGACATAACATGTGCGAATTGCTTTGCTCTGGTAATGGCACAGTGAATTGCTGTGGATGACCTAACAATGGTGTGTGTGTCATAGATCATGTTTGCATACAAGAACAGAGGTGTTTGTTTAGTTTTGGTGCTGGGCATTGAACTCACGACCTGGCATGCTTGACTAGCAGGAACAACTGATCTGGTGCTGGGGGGTGCAGCTCAGCTGGCAGAGTGCTTCTCTAGCAGGCATGGAGTGCTGGCTTTGAGCTCTAGCACCACATAAAGCTGGAACCCATAAACCGGGCATGTGGCATACACCTATAGTCCCGACACTTGGGAGGCAGAAGCAGGGTGGAAGTGCAAGGTCTTCCTGAGCTACATAGTGAGTTCAAGGTCAGTCTGGGATAAATGAGAACCAATCTCCAACAAAATAAAACATCAAATCAATCCAAGCCAAACAACTTTTCAAACTCAGGACGCCAAGGCAGGAGTACTGCCCTGAGTTTGATGCTATACCTACAACAACTCTTTTCATTTACCAAAATATGCTTTGCCTTCGTGCTCAGGTTCCGGTGCGAATGCCAACACCACACCTGTGGGGAGACGTGTAATCGCTGCTGTACGGGCTACAATCAGAGGCGCTGGCAGCCTGCTGCTCGGGGGCAGCACAGTGAGTGTGAAGGTGGGTGCTGATGTCCTCTCCTCTCTACCTGTGGACTGATAGCAAGTGTGCCTTGAGGTCACAAAGAGGATGGGGTCATGTCAATTTCAGAGACTCAGTTCTGTTTATTATAAGGTAGACCCCCCCCCTTTACTCTAGATATGTGTTTTGGACCCCTCGTGGATGCTGATTTCAAGGACAGTGGAGACCCCAAGATGTCCTATATGCTCCTCTACATTCACGGTTATGAGAAAGTTGAACTCATAGATTGCCCGTAAGAGATGAACGGCAACTAACAAGAAATAGAACTGTGACGACACCAGAATGTGATCAACTGGCCAGTATCACAATGGGCGCACTCGAGAGCCTTTATTAGTAAGACAGGGCTCTCTCCATGTCTGTTCAATATAGTCCTGGAGTTCCTGCTAGAGCAGTAAGACGACAAAAGGACATCAAGGGGATACAAACTGGGGAGGAAGAAGTCAAACTTTCGCTAGTTGCAGATGATATGATAGTGTACATAAGTGACCCCCAAAACTCTACTAGGGAACTCTTACAGCTGAGAAACTCCTTCAGTAATGTGGCAAGATTCAAAATTAACTCAAAAAGTAAGACAAGGGTCACAGGAACCTGAGGCCCTGCAAGCTGATCTCATCACCACCGTGAATCCAGGTGACTCTTGGGCTGGAAGCAGCAGCCACGAAGAGAAGCTTGCACTGCGCTGCACTGCCCGCATGGCCCACAGTTTGAAACACGAATTGTTGATTTTTGTGACTCTATTTAATATTTGTAGACTGCAGGTAGCTTAACTATGGAAAATGTAACCACTGATAAGAGGGAACCAATATAAGGAAAACATCAGATTTAAGAGGAAAGAGTCCTGAATTCAAATATAAGAAAAAATTCTTAAGTATATACATGGTACTTTCATGTATGGATCGGGCTGAGTGTTTTAACATGTCAGTCTCTCTTTTTAGCACTTTTAGGGTGTGATAGCAGATAGCGACGACGCTGTCTTGAGGGCCGAGGGCTGGAGAAAGAGATGGGAGTGATGGCTAAGCCTGATGCATACTAGGATGCTGTTGTGGATTAAATCATGTGGAAGGTGGGAGAGATCGGAGAAAATGAGAAAATAGTGGGAAGCTGCTTTTAACTCACAGCTGTATTAGAAAGTTAAGGAAGCAGTGGTTTTTGACACACCCCACGACATCTGCATTATTTTTTTGTGTTGCTGTGATACAATTACCAACAAAAGCAACTTATGAAGGATGGTAACTGGGTTCTGCCGGGTCAATTTCTGAGAAACACCAACGTTCAGACCATATTGTGGAACTGCTTTGAACATTTTAATCAGATAGCGTAGTGGTTGTGTTCGGCATACTAACTAGTCAAGATTATACTATCTGTTTAATTTTATGTCCTGATCTTTTTCATTGATTTTTTTTTTTTTTTGGTTTTTTGGTTTTTTGAGACAGGGTTTCTCTGTGTAGCTTTGCGCCTTCCCTGGAACTCACTTGGTAGTCCAGGCTGGCCTCGAACTCACAGAGATCCACCTGCCTCTGCCTCCCGAGTGCTGGGATTAAAGGCGTGTGCCACCACCGCCCGCTCATTGATTTTTTTTAAAAAGATATTTTTGACATTCCTTCCCAATCGTCATGAATTCTTTGGTGGCATATAGTATCATCACAGTACGACTCCAAGTCAATATGGTGGGGGTTAGTGGAGTGCCACCGTGTGCCTAGGACCATGCTCTATCACAAACAAAATACGTGCAGCTCCATCTTCATAGGATTTACAGTCAGCCAGGTGTGTTATTTATCTATAGTTAGACGTGAACCTAATTCCTATATTGGCTGATAGGAGTTGGAATATAGGCTTGGAATCAAATATAAGATTTGGAGTCAAACAAGGACAGGACTGATTTCTGGCTCTCTTGTTTATGGGCTGTGTAGCTGTGGATCATCTTGTAGCCTTGCTCCATCTCAGTTTTCCTATCTGTGGTATGGGGATAATGGCACCTATATTAGAGAGTAGATTAAAAGCAACAATGCATATAAACATACCGCACAGTAAATAAAGAGCTGAACAGTAGTTTGTAGTAATGTCAACAGTGGCAGTAGTCTGTGTACATACTATAATGGGTATTTTGATTCATCATTGTTATAACTATATGTCTTTTTGTTTGTTTGTTTTGTTTTTCGAGACAGGATTTCTCTGTGTAGCTTTGCGCCTTTCCTGGATCTCACTCTGTAGACCAGGCTGGCCTCGAACTCATAAAGATCCGCCTGGCTCTGCCTCCCGAGTGCTGGGATTAAAGGCGTGCACCACCACCGCCCAGCTATAATTATATATCTTTTAAGAAAAGAGAAATCTTTCATTTACTGTCAAAAAGAAGGGGCTATAAAGTACACAATCTTTTATATAGTAGTCTTTGTGTAAAAAACAAACAAACCTGTAATTCTCTACAGAGTATCTCTAGTGTTTCAGGACAGACTTTATTGTAAGCCACAGAGCAGAGATCCTGTCTGGGAGCTTACTAATGTTGCATAGTAATTTGACCAAGAGTGCTTTTCTTCCAGCCTGCAACTGCCATGGGCATGCCACGGACTGTTACTACGACCCGGATGTGGAACAGCAGCGGGCGAGCTTGAACACCAAAGGCACCTATGCAGGGGGAGGAGTCTGCATCGACTGTCAGGTGAGACGCCGCATAAGTAGGTGTTGGCCTGGAATCCGGTCTTCAAGTAGATCCATGTGGCAAAGCTGTCACCATAACAAGAGGGGCCCAGACAGGCCCCCCACTATGTCGGGGGGGGGGGTGTGAGCTGGAGGAAAGTACAAGAGCAACCAGCTGGGACACAGTAAGGCCTTCCACAGATGGCTCTGAAACAACAAGATCTTATGTGGAAAACTTAAGCCTTGATCCCTGCTCACATATATAAAGTTGACTTGGTATTGAACAATGGACAAAGAGTGAGCTGAAGCTGTAAAACCTGAGAGAAAAACACAGAGTCCCTGTGTGATTCAGAAGGTGAGAGACTTTCCTCAGTCATAGAAAGCTGTAATCGTGAAAGATGAAGGAATCCGATTGCACTGAAGTGAAAAACTTCTGCTCACTCCCACTGAAGAAAATGATCGGGCAAGCTGCAGACAGGGAGAGAATATTCACAAACTGAAGTCTGTCAGATGGTCGGTAACCACAACAAATAAAGAGGTCCTAAGCTCTTAAATGAAGACAGGTAACGCCCACATACACACAATAACCAAACAGCCTCTTATGAGTGTTTAAGTATGTGAATGACCAATAAGCTGGCAGTCAAGGGCTGAGCTGCTTCCATCAGGAGGAACATGCCAGTCAAAACCACAAATCACCTCCACCTCTCACCAAGATGGCAATTATTAAAAAGCCTAGCAACTAAATTTCAGTGAGATGTGAAACAACCATAGATACCATTCCCCCATCGATAGAAATGCCAAATGGTGTGCCATGGCTCCGGCAAAGGCCCAACAATGTATAAAATGCAATGAAACATGCACCTTCCTACACTGTGATAAACCCTACTCCCAGTTTATCTATAAGAAACAGAAATGTTTTGGTTGTGAGCCAAACCTTTAATGGCTGAGCCATCTCTCCAGCCCCAGAAATGCTTGTTTTCTAATAGCCTCGGTCATCAGTAGTAGGATCAACAGACAAATTCTTGCTCAATTGCATAACAGAACACTAAAGGGCAGAGAGGACCTTGGGCTGATGCTACATCACAGCACTGAGGATCTTAGGAGCAGTTTGGTAATGGAAAATCAGCTTTCACAAAGGGTTCATGTGTGTGGAAGCCATTGGCACAGAATTCTTAAACACAAGTTAGTAGAGAAAGTATCAGAAGTATGACTAGTTCTAAGGAGGTGTAGTGGTGGGAGGCTGACTGGGCAGGAACATGGGGATTTTCTGAGGTGAGGTGTTGTTTTATACTGAGATAAGAAATTGAGTTTGGTGAATGTACGATTAAGAGTTTTGTATGTACCAAATATGTTTTATAGAACAAAAATCACAAGCATGTGTTGAACGCCAGTTAGTTAAGTCCAGGCTTAAATACTTGGATGGCTGGCACTTGTAGCATTTGGGAATACACAATAAGTCAGATGTTGATGCATGGACAGAGGAAGAGGTTGGGGAATGTTTATTATGTAGCAAATAAATAGAGTAGGATGTTCATGGTGATCTGTGGGTGGGGCTTGTATGATTGATCACTGTGAAAACTTCCCGTAACAAACGCTGAGGCAAAGGGGAAGGGAAGAGGCTGGATGGCTTGCCTGCATCCGCTCCTTCTTGACTTCTGTTTCTTGTGGTAACACTGACGTACTTAGTGAAGACTGGCGGTTACCCAGGTTGTTTGGGGTGGTGCTCAGAGGTACTCTCTCTCTGTTAACCAAATGAAGTTGAACGTCTCCCATGAAGACGGCACTTGCTCCCTAGTTATTCACATCCAGTGAGGTCAATAAGATATTTGTCTCACTATTCCAGAACCATCTGTTTTTCACATGACACCTTGTAAAACAGATGGGAATCCAGCCACAGAACACATGGTTCTGTTCTGCCCCAAACCCTACCATGCACAGAAAAGGTATTTAAAAAGAAAAATGCACCCTTTCTCCAGAACTCATTATAAAGTGAAAATGAGGATGTCGTGTTGTTTGAAAAGAGCAGAAACTCCAAAAGATTCAAGAAGAAAGCAAACGTGAAACACACATACCAGACAGGGTTCAAGGCTGCAAATGTCAGAATGACATGGAGCCCCAAGAGGCCACAAAAGGAGCCGATTGTGGGGCTAGAGTCAAACTCCTAATGCTACACCGGAATCTATAAAACACAGCCTGTGCTGAGCAGTGTTTTCAGGCTTGATCTTTTCTGAAGCCAGCCTATACATTCAGTGTGGTTTTAGGACTTTTGTGGGGATGGACAGGAAGATTCTGAACTTACTAGCGGAGAACACAAGACTAGATTGTTAGAAATGAGTAAGTGTGGGACACCCAGCCTCTAAGAATCAAAACTGTTCTGAATCTGTACTTGGGTATGGACTCGGCATGGGGATTACTGCCAGAAACTAACAACCTAAGACAGCTCATGGGAAAGGCACAATTTGATTTTAATGTCATGTCATTCCTAATAGAAAAGATGGACATTTTGTAAGTGCTATTGGGACACTTGGTTCTTTGTTTGGGGAAAAAATGAACTGTATTTTATGCCATGCACACAAGGACGTGAAAGTCTTCCCTGGAAAAGGAAGAGAAGAGGGGCTACAGGGCCGGCCAGCCTGGTGATCCAGTTTGAGTTTGTTGGTAAAGAACACACAGCCTACAGCAAATTCTGTCCCCTAGAAATGCAGGAATTGTGCTGTTTCCCACCATTTCTGTTCAGTGCCTGCAAGTGGAAAGTGATGAATAATCTGCCATCATCTCAGAGCACACACACAGGCTGTCCCTAAACACCTTCACATAGTATCTCAGTCAGTTTGTGGCTATACCGAAATACCTGAAATGGGTTAATTCATAAAGAAGAAACTTTTACTTTTGCATAGTTCTGAGACCATGAAGTCTGGGATCAAGATGGCAGCCTGTTTGGTCATCTGGTAACAATCTGTCTTTACATGGTGGAAGGCAGAGGATAAAGGGCCAAATTCTGTGGTCTCCTTTCTAAGGGCCTTAATCCACTCCTGAAGGACAAGCCTTTATGACTGAATCACTTCTCAAAGGCAGTGTCTCTTAACACTATTATACTGGCCATTGAACTTAAGCCTGAATTTTGAAAAAGACCCAGTTAAACTGTAGCAGATAGTTGTAGGCAGCGTTTTTAGTTGGGACCACTGGCTCCCCAAATAACCACACAGAGATTTATTATTTATAAATGCTTGGCTGATAGCTTAGGCTTGTTACTAGCTCTTACTACTTAAATTAATCCATATTTCTTATCTATGCTCTACCATGTGGTGGTACCTTTTTTCAACATGGCATGGTCATCAGCTCCCTCTACATCTCACTAGTAACTCAGCCCTCCTTCTTCCCAGTTTTCTCTCAGTCTGGCTCTCCTACCTAACCTCTTTCTGCCTAACTATTGGCCAGTTGGCTCTTTATTAAACCAATGAGAGCAAAACATCTTCACAGTGTACAAAAGGATTATTCCACAGCAGATAGTCATGGTGATAGAGTTAGATTCTTGTCCTGAATAGAAAGCAGTTACCAGAGGCACATATAGACTCTATTGGTATTGGTTTATTTTATTTCTTGGGTTTCCCATTTTAACTGTTGGGATAGGGTATAAGATATTCCAAGTAAGGTGGCCAATTTCATGAGTTGTGGTATCTGAGTAGATAAGGGAATGAGCCAGACATCCATTGGGGGCATTAGAGTAACAGAAGGACAAGAGGCCTTGGTAAGGAGCAAGATCCCAGGATAAGTGAGGATAAGTGAGTCGGGAGAAGGGCAGATAATTCCAGAAAGGCACCAAAGTCTAGTTCATGTGGAACCTTTGTAAGGAAAATTCATTCTGGTCTTCAGGGACAAGGTGACTAATGAGTGAGCAGTCTCCACGTGCTTGAGATTCACAGAGATGGAATGTGATGGGGGAGGTACAGTCAAGGAATTGAGTGCAAGAGGCAGAGAGTTAGTATTTGCCTAAAGGTCAAAACATGTTGGAAAAGCTCCATGTGGTGGAATCCAGAACTCAGACAATCAGGGTGAGGCCTGGCTTCTAGATGAGCACTCCATAGAGTGCTGCCCAGGGGACCCAGGTGATAGTTCAGTCTGTAGCTTTTGCTGTGCAAGCATGAGGCTTGGATTTGAGCTGTAAAACCCTTGTGGATGAAGCGTGTTCTGGCTGGCAAGACGGCTTAATGGATAAAAGCACTTGCAATTTAAGCTTGAGGACCTGGGTTCAATCCCTGGAGTTTGAAAGAACCAACTCCTGAAAGTTGTCCTCTGACCCCTATATGTTTTTCATGCCATACACACACACACACACACACACACACACACACACACACACACACACACACACACACACTCCCTTTTCTCCGGGTGGAGCCAGAGCAGCCAGTAGGTGGGAGACAGGCTTTTTGCCTGCAGAGGGCGCCATTACACTTACTCGGCTTGGGTCTCTGTGGTTCTCATTTGATGCTGAACAGGCCCAACTTCAAACACCCACTCCTCCCGCCTGGCAGGACAGATTCCTCTAGGCCGCCACCATAAACCTGTGAAGCCACCTTGACTCTTGTGTCTTGCCCTGCCTGTGCTCAGTCCAGCCAGGACCCTGCTGTCCACAAATCCAATGGTATGAGTTGCCCTCTGACTGTGGAGGCCTTAGAGAAAACCATCCAAAACAGGCTTTATTTTATCTGTGGTGTCTGTTCTCTCTTGGTCCTTCGCTGCTATTCAAGCACGAATTGAGGCAAGGATCCAAGGCTGCCCACCTCAGAGAACAGTTCTCATGTCCTGCCCTAATTGGATTGCTAGCCAAGGTTAGCCACAGTAGCAAGCAATGGAATGGAAGGTGGATGGCATTTGATGGGAAGAGTGGGCGGGCTGGAGCTGTTTCCTATTTGTTCACAAGGTTCATGCGAATGCTAGCAGGGTGGCCATCATGACCTTGGTGCTAAAGTGGATTCAGATTTTTAGCCCACAGGACAAGAGTGGTAAAAACCAAGGGTCTGTGGTTAATAAAATCCTGCAGGGAGAGGACACAGACCAGGCCTTTGTTCTCCCTGAGTTTCTGTGCAGGTTCCGTGTGGATCCCATTGCGTTCATTCTTGTTGGGTTGCTTTTCTTGCCCTCTCGGTGGTGACACTGTCCCAGGGCTTTTTCAGGTGAGAGGGAACAGAATTGAGCTGTGACGTGTATTTCTTGGAAACTGATGATGTGTGTGGGTTATTGATTTTGTGGCAACTGTAAGGATTAACCATGGACTGGAAAAAGCCACCCGACTCAAAACTGAGCTCTGTGTATGAGCCTCATGCTTACATTGTCCATTCACACAATGAAAACATCCTGAGAATGATGGAAACACAGATAAAATTAGAATGACGAGAGACAGAGATTTTTATACACTTTCCTTCCAAAACTGGGAAAGATACTGATTCTCACGCACTGTCTCATTCTTTGAGCTAAACCAGGGCTGCCGAGTGTCCATCCATTGGGTCTTCTGAGCAACACTGTACGGACTGAAGCGACAGGGGCATTGAGGGTTATTATTTTTTCTTACTCAAGTGTCAAGTTCATTAAAGCAATTTATTTATTTTAATTTATTTTTAGAGGGGGAATCCAGGGCTGCCAGTTTATTGAACATTCCTTATTTCCTTTTCCCACGTGTGTGGTGGGGATTTCAGGGCCAAGGTGAGTCAGTGACCTGGGACACATTTCGGGTCCTGTGACAGGGTCAAGTCGGACGTTTTTAGGGGCTTTGGGACTTTGATTTTGTAGGAGAGAATTATTTCTGTGGTGGATTAGCACAGACTAAAGAATGCTGGGCTTCTCTGGTGTCCTTTGTAAGTTTCGTTCTTTCTCTTTCCTCTAGCACAACACGGCAGGCGTGAACTGTGAGAAGTGTGCAAAGGGTTACTACCGGCCCCATGGCGTGCCCGTGGATGCGCTCCATGGATGCATCCGTAAGTCTCATGTCATGACTATGACAGTGTGTGTATACTGCCCCAAGGGTGTCATAGCTCGGGGACCTTGGTGGCCTTTGTCCCTTGCCTTTGTATTTCAGGTTCTACTTCTTTCCAGCTGTGCTGTCTCAGGAGACTCCATATTTTCTCTAAACCCCAGAATTCTTACGTGTAAATAATGATGATAATAAATGTACTTCCTAACAGTAGGTGAAATGCTATCAAAAGTGTGCAGGGAAGCACTTAATTCAGTCAGTCAGTCACCTATCAAGCCTGTAATAGACATTGCATCTTCATTTTTTTTAAACTGGTTTGACCTGTTTCTATGTTTTCCAATAATTTCAAGTTTGTCATAATTAGCATCAAAGCAGCATAGTAACGAGTCCACAAAGATTTAATCATCGTCATGGTGGTTAGCTGTAGGTGAGTGCTTACTAAGCACAAGAGATTGTGTAAGACAATGGGTGTGGCTGAGAGGTGTGAGGACAAGTGTGCTTTATTAATACAGCGAGGGACTGGTCACTCAGTGATTATTTTTCCTCTTAGCTTGCAGCTGTGACCCTGAACGTGCAGATGACTGTGAACAGGGGTCAGGTCGCTGTCACTGTAAGCCAAATTTCCACGGGGACAACTGTGAGATGTGTGCAGATGGGTACTATGATTTTCCATTTTGCTTGAGTAAGTATCCAGTGTAGATGAGCGCCCCCTTTCTGGCCCATAGCCAATCTCTGTGTGTGAACAATGGAGAGCATGGAGAGTGTACGAGGGGCTAGAAACAGGACCAAGTAGGTTGCATTTACAGGAAAGCATTTCCCTAGGTCTCAAAGACAAATTTTAGAATTATGTTTAGCTTGGCGTACAGTAGACATTGCTGTTTTAGTAGGTCAAGGACTCAAATACTGTGAAATTCAACTTGATAGTAAACCATGAGTGTGACTTCATAGAGACTTCATAGACCTAGTGCATCATTCTTTGCAGGGTTGGGGCAAGAAGGTGTGTTTTCTCTTCTCCAGTGCACAAGAGGGCAGCTGCCAGGGCCCTCGTTTCCCTCCACCCTACTACAAAAGATCTGAATGAATACTTTAACATATTCATGAGGAAAATATATATACACACACATATACATATATTCTGTCTCAGGAGAAGTGTGATGTATTCCGTCTTGGAAGAATGTGGTGGGAGAAGTGGGGACCTGGGACCGACCTGTTCAGTGTGTACGTGCTGTCCTAGAACGGTGATGAAGCAGCGACTATTTCACTGTGGAGACGTTCCTACTCTGGATAATCAACTATAGTTTAGGAAACAATGTCTGAAGCCATTGACTCTTTCAGGTGCTTGCCCATTTAGAATCTAGAATTGTGGGATAGGTTCCACAGAAACTGACCCTGCTTTTTCAGTGGGAAAAAGAAGAGGACACTTCAATTATTTTTTTTTTAATGGAATAAGCAAAAATTCAGGGAAAAAACTTAGAAGAAAACCTTTTTTCAAAGCTACTCTCGGTTTTACTTAAAAAAAAACATTAAATTTCTGTTTAAAAAATAACCATAAATTCTATTCATGTTTAGACATAGCTATTCTTTGGGCATAACTGTTATGAGTGATTTAGCAATTGTGAGCATAAAACACACACCCCCCATTTCCTTTTGCTAATCAGCTAAGCACCCTGGCTTCAGTTATGAGGCGTGTTGGCCATAGAGAGTGCAGGGCCTTTCCCTAAATCAGTCTCTACGTGTCACTTTTCACTGAAGGAGGGGCCTTCTTCCTGCTCAGTGCAACTTGGTGGTGTATACTACTATCTCTGTAATCTGTGTTTTTAAATAAATTATTTTGTAGGAATTCCAGTCTCTTCCGTTTACACTCTGAGTCCAGAAGACCCGGTAGCTGGCAATATAAAAGGCAAGTAGCCTCTTTTGGGTTTAATGTCAATGAAAATACTGTGTTCCATTTCCTTCCTGGTTTCTGGGCACACTGCCAAGTCCAAGTGAAGTTTCGGAGTGCTGTGGGACTTTTGCAGAGTCTTCTGGCCATTCTCAATCGTAGTCTATCTTTCAAAAGGGCACTGCCCAATTCAGGATACTGGTTAGAGCTTGGATTATAGATTGCCAGTTTGCTCAAAATCCTTTCATAGTGGCCTTCCTACTTGGCCACCTGTCCTACCCACATGAACTTAGTGCAAGTACTATATCTGGGAGGTGGTTCCAGGAAACAGCAGGACAGGTGTGGGAAGGGCATGTGTGTGAGGTGTTTTCAAGCATCAAAGCCCCTCTGCATCCTGACTGAGGTTCTGCGGTCATGTAGTAGTCAGGGTCTGGGCTGCACATGGAGTGCTGGAGGTGAAATTATGTCAGAAAGGGAGGCTAGGAAAGGGAGGTTTACCAATTGAAATAGTCAGGCATGGGAAAGATGGAGTACATAGTCCTTAGGATAGGACTGTCCAGTAAGCAAAAAGCCCAGAGGTGTGGCAGTGAGATGAGGGAAGAGTGGCCAGGAAGGGAAGTGCCGGGGCCTCATGACAAGCCATTGCCAGCCACTGTGAACATTTAGTGTTTGTTTGGAATGAGATAGAATGACAGAGAGACATTACATGTAAGGACCCTTCTGGGTGCTGTCCTGAGAACAAATTGCAGGGGAGAAGGGGTGCAGAGACCCAATGGGAAGCCATTGCAGTTACCTAGGAGGAAATGATGGTGGCTGAGACCCAAGTGGCATCCCCGGAGGAACAGGAGTTGGGCAGGTGGTGGGTGTCTTCCACAGAGAGAACCAGACAGACTTGAAGGGGGATTTCTGAAAGATAAACGGGGCTGGTGGCAGTGTTGGTTACCACGTGGAAAGGTCACAGTCACGACAGAACCCAGTGTTAGTTTTTAGAGCTTTATTAGGAGGGAAAGCGGGGGGAGGAGAAAGAAGAGAGCCAGGCCTGGAGAGGGAGAAAGATGGTGGTGGTGGTGGTGGTGGGGAAGCAAAGCAGAGCAGGGAACAGAGAGAGAGCAGAGAGAGAACATGGGGTCTGCATCCGGCTTTTTAGGGTATGTACGTAGTCGCCAGTGCTCCCTGATGATGTAAGACGCAAGACCCCAAGCTACGCATGTGCAGGAGTGAGGGCAGGATCCTAAAAAGTTCTACATCAGGAACAGAGTATGTGGGGAAGAGAAAACTCAGGTTGTCTCCAGGACCTTGGGGCTGTCTGTACACACAGAAGGGAGAAGCTACCTTTTATTGAACCCAAAAGGCTACTGACCAAATGTAGTCTGCATGCGTGGGAGAGGCGCAGGCAGGGGCAGCCATGGAGACTTGTGGGAGCGTGCTCTGTTTGCTCTCTGAAATAAGAAGCACACGTGTTAGAGCAGGCAATGAGGAAGGTGAAGAGGGCTTGGTGTGGAAGGAGAAGGCGTGAGAGTCATCCAGGGGTGTGAACTTAGGAAACGTCCCAGGACTGCTTGGTGGCACTGGGGCTCCCTCGAAGTCAGTTACAATTGGCTTCATCTACCTCCCTGCCTCAGCCCTGCCTGCTGCTCTACCCACGCCTCTGACAAACCAGGTCTCCGTGTGCCTGTGAGGAGGGCTGGGGGAGGGTGGGTATACTTGGCTTGGCTTGTAATCCTCTTAGTGCGGAGGGTCTGTGGCATGATGCCCATGGTGGGAATCAGCCAGCATTTTCTTAAACATTTGTAAATGAACTAGAGTGGAACTTAGAGCCTTGGCAAAACACAGCTCTGGTTTCTCTCGCCAGAATGTTTGGATCACCCATTTATCATCCGTTTATAGTCATCTCTTTGTTCCTCTGTTTCTTCTTCTCTCCAAAGAGGCTTGTGGTGACCTCAGGGAAAGAGGGTTAACTGAACATGTCGAGAAGTTCAGGTATCTGCCACAAAATGCTAGGGAAACCTTGGAACGCAGCCTGGTAGAGAATAAGTAAATTAGCACAGTAAAGCTGGAGAATTCAGACACAGTGATCCACCTCAGTTTGCTGACTTATTAATTCATTTTAATTATTGATTTTGTGGTGTATGTCTATACCAATCTGTGCACATGTGTATGTATGTGTGTATATGTATATGTGTGTGCATGTGCAATCATGTACACACATCTAGAAGCCAGAGATTGGCAAAATGTATCTTTCTCAGTAGCTTTTCACCTTATTTTTGAAACAAAGTCTCTTCCTAAACCTGGAGGTCACCAATTTGGCTAGACCGACTGGCTAGCAGGCCCCTGGGACTGACCCTCTTGTCTCCATCTGCCCAGCATTGGGTGTATAAGTACATGCTTCTGTGCCTGGAATTTTACATGGGTGTTGAGGCTCATAGTCAGGCCCTCCCGGGTGCACAGCACACACTTTACCAACTGATCTGCCTTGCCCTATTAATACATTTTAAAAACACCGAGTTTGGGACTTAATTATTGGTAGAGCATATTAGAAGTACCAATTTATAAGCTACCAGCAAATGCAGAGCACTGGATGAAGCTGGCCTCCCTCCTACCCCTGAGAATTCTAACCTCTGAGACCTGTGGAAGATTGTGTGTCCTTGAGTATAGCAGTTCTTAACTAAGCATGTGCTTTAAAAAATTGTTTTTTATTCCTGCCTGTCACTTGGGGTCTTGATGTAGGTTTTCGGGGATGGAGCCTGGGCGTGTGGTCTGGAGACTTGTCCTGACTCTGGACGCTTCTCATTAAGGAACATTGACTCATCCCGGAGAAGCTCCTGTCTAGCAGTTGTCAAGCTTTGCTGTGAAGGATCAGATAGGAACAACTTCTGGACTTTGGGGATTGATGGATCCTGTCACATGTCCTCAACTGCTGTTGAGGGGACCACAGCTAATATGTAAGCGAAAGCATTGGGCTGTGTTCCAATAAAATTTATTTTTCTAAAAATGGGTATATTTGGCTCTCACCCAAAAGTTTACAGACCCTCAGTGTAGGGTAAAATGGACTAGCCAAAGAAACCCACCCTGGCCCTGAAACCAGAGCCAAATCTGCCCCTGATCAACTGTGCATGAAACCAACCAATCCCTGAGCAGGAAAACCAACCAATCCCTGAACAGAAAAACCAACCAATCCCTGACCACAAAACCAGCCAATCCCTGAGCATGAAATCTAGCCAATCTGAGCATGAAATCTAGCCAATCTGAGCTTGCCCAAGCTCAAGGGGATTGAAATCTGACTAATTCCCACCCTGAAAATCTTCTCCCTGGGAAAACTCCACCCCTGTGCCTGTTCAGGTAGTAACTGTCCTTCACCCTGGCAGAGGCAGCCACTCTCCTGGATTTCTCCCTCCCAAATAAATCTCTTCAAAGAGTTTTGGGTAAAGACTTTCTTTCGCCAGAGCAGAGCAGAATCTCTGCTGGGAAACTCCCAAGTGGAGTGGAGCAGAGAAGCAATGGATTTCTCTGCTGGGAAACCCCCTTAGGGAAGCAGAGCAGAGCTCAGCTGTCATGGCTCTCTCTCAGAGAGGAGCAGAATTGCCACATCCTGTGGGGAGACCATCCCCCACCAGACCCCAGCTTCAGGTATAGCCTGACTTCCCGAGAAGTCAAGATACCTTTCTCCTCACAGCTGTAGGTATCCAGGATACCTTCCCTTCACAGCTGCAGGTACAGCCTGACTTCTGACAGTCAGGGTGCATTTCCCTCCAGAGCTGTAACACTTGCACCCAGGACCACATCAGAGTCCCTGAATGTGCACTTCTATACCCAAGCTAAAGTATTTTACTAGAGACTCCTATAACCAGCTAAGACTGGGACAATTAGTCTAGAAGAACAGCCCTTCCTGTCCATTGGTATTTCATCTCATCTGCATACCTACTGAATATATATATATATTTAAAATATATTCAAAAATATATTTTTTAAGAATGCATCTTGAGGGATGTCTCAGTGGGTAGAGTGCATGCCACACAAGCAGGAGCATGAGTTTGGATCTCCAGGCTATGTGTAGTGTTGGCACAGCATCTCACATCCCAGCGTTCCTATGGTGAGACAGGAGGTGGAAACAATGGAATCCCTTGGAGCTCATAGGCCAGTGTGGTATACAGAGATGAGGCTCTGTCCCCAAGAAGGTGGAAGATAAACACCAGCACGAGATTTTCCTGATTCCACACACAGAGTAGCATGCATATACCACCCCACACAACATGCAGGTTCTCACGCAAATGTTATAAGAATGCATTTATAGTATATATGTAGAATCCTTGTCATTAGTTTTAATGCTGTATAGAAGCATATTGTTTTAGGTATAAGTCTTGCTGTGATTTAAAGTATTTGGGAGTACATATATAGGTTATATTCAAAGGCTTCATATTACCCTGTCATTTGAGCTGAAGAACTTTTGCATCTGGGGGGTTTAAGTCCATAAGTGGGGAGGGAGTGCCATGGAATCCCCCACCAGGAAGTACTAAGGAATGACTGTGCTTGATAAGGATTCTTGACACTGAAGAAGAGACTCTAATTAGGCAAATAGCTATGTGGATTTGACTATTTTTAGGCTTCTATCTTTATCTCATAACTGGATATTATTATCCAGTTCAGATGGAGGGACCAGTTGTATATATCCACTTGAGCATTATTAGTAGAAAGGAGGTGTGTCATAGACACATCTCTAAGGGATCCCTTTAGAAGTGATCATGAAGCCTGTTATTCCCTCGAAATATATGCTCAAGGACATGAGACTGCCCATGTGGCTTCCTCTAGTCCTCCAAGTTCAAATTGCAGTGAGAAGGAGAGCCCAGGTATCTACTCTATCAGGGAAATTGTGGTGATCTGGGCTGATTGTGTAGAGCAGCTCATCAGGCCCGCAGACAGGCCAGCCCTGTCCAGTTACAGGGGCAGAGCTCCTGAAAAGATTATGGAAAGGTTTGCAATCTCCCCAGCCTCCCACCCACTTCGTAAAGAGCTGTTTGCTA